ATAAGGTAAAATATTTGGGGGTTACATTATCTGCTTCCAACGCAAAACTGTATAAAAATAATTATGAAAAGTTGTGGACGGAGATACAGAAGGATTTAAAAAATTGGAACAATTTACAGTTATCCCTTATGGGTAGAATTGCAGTTATTAAAATGAATGTCCTGCCAAAGTTTATTTTTCTGTTTCAAATGTTACCTATTTTAAAGAGTGACCGTAATTTAGATGAATGGCAAAAAGGTATTAATAAATTTGTTTGGGCAGGGAAAAAACCAAGGGTGAAACTTAAAATAATGCAAGATTTTCGTGAGAGAGGTGGACTCAAGGTACCAAATATGAAATTGTATTATGATGCTGTAGTACTAACATTGATCAGCGATTGGGTGAATTTAACAAATATAGAAATACTTCATTTGGAAGGTTGGGATTTACTTTTTGGATGGCATGCCTATTTAATATTTAATAAAAAAGTGGATTGGGTTTTTAAGTCTCATATTATAAGAATCTCTTTGCTTAGAGTGTGGAGGAAGTATTATAAATTTGATTTTAAAATACCATTATGGGCTATACCTCGGCATGCCATAGAAGGTATAAGGAAAGGGGTTAATATGGATATGGTTTCTTATGCACAGTTACTTAGATGGGATGGCCAAGACTGGCAGTTAAAATCTTTGGAAGAACTAATACATGAAAATCTAACTTATTCATGGTTCCAATATAGACAAATAGTGGACAGATGGAAGATGGATTGTAAAATGGGCTGGCTTAGAGAAGATGAAATTCTCCTAAAACAAGTAAGAGATCAAAGGCCAACCCATATTAAGAGAGTTTATGGGGTTTTAGTGGAATTGGATTCAGAATCTGAATTAGTTAAAGATTGTATGATTAAATGGGCACAGAATATTGGTGAATCGATTTCAATGGATACTTGGGAACTTATTTGGATAAGAAATGTTAAATTCACACAAGCGCAAAATTTAAGAGAGAATTTTTATAAGATGTTTTATAGATGGCACCTTGATCCAAAGAAAATGTCCATTATGTACTCTAATTTACAGCCGAAATGCTGGAGATGTGGACACTTGGATGCTACTTATTATCATATCTGGTGGACGTGTAAGCATATAAAAGCTTTTTGGATTAAGATATGGTGGAATATTCAGAGAATTTTTAGAAGGAGGGTAAAATTTACTCCGCAATTATTTTTATTAGGTATTGTTACTGATTGTGATGCTAGGGAGGTTATATTGATGCTAAATTTGATTACAGCCGCTAGGCTGTTAATAGGACAATATTGGAAGAAGGAATCCTTGCCTAATTTACAAGAGTGGTTTTATAAAGTTTCGTATTTGGCAGAAATGGCAAAGATTTCGGCTTTTTTAAAGGAGCAATCTCAAGAGAAATTTTTTGCGGTATGGGAAAAACGGATAAATTTTATGCAACATAATTTGGATATGGAAAAATATTATTTAGCCTTTTTATAATTTGTAATGATTGTTTTTTTTTCTTCTTTCTTTCTTTCTTCTTCTGTATTATTATTTATATACTTTTCTATATATGTTTTATTTTTCGCCTATCTCTTTCTTTTTTCTTTCTCTCTCTCTTTTCTCTTTCCCTTTTTTCTTCTTCCCTTTTTTTTATATATATTATTTACTTTAAAGTTTATGTTACGTATATTATTATTATATATATTATTATTATGATTTTTATTATTATTATTAATTATCTTATAAATTGTATACGTTATTTTTTAAAATTTGTTCAATAATCCTATATTCAGTTCTGGGAAGTCAGGGGGGGGGAGGGTGGGGTGGTTTGGGAGGGGGGGGGGTGGATGTTTATTTGTAAAATTTTTGAAAAAAATTAAATAAAAAAAAAATAGGAGTGAAAGATATTTCTATGTGTTGGATGGGGGGAGGGGGAAAGCTAGAAAGCAACCAGTTATACACCCAAAGAATTTTGTTGAAAAGTTTCAATTACACATGAGAATTATAGAACCAAAGGTTTTAAGATACACTGTAACCAAGAACATTTATTAATACTTTGACATATAATAATTGCACAAGGTCATAAAAAGCTAATTGCATATACAGTGAAGTTATTACAATCAAAATAGTGAAGCTATAGATTATTTGGAGCAGTCAAAACCAATTTAAGACGGAACCAGTCGAATAAATATATTGTCATTTGATGGTTATGATGACAATGTTATATATTATGTGTTACAACCTGTTTGCTAATCAAAATCCTCATATCCGTTGGTAGCTATGTTGGTAATCAACATAGAAACTTTATTACATTTCTATTCTAAAAGCATTACTGAGATTCTGAATATTCTAGCACATTATCCCTCTAGTTACAATCAACCTGGGTAAAACATAATGAAATAAATGCATGTAGTCAACTGAGGTAAACTGATTTAGGGTCAATGGGTCAATAGTTTTTATGTTTTGTTCATTTTTTGCACTGATATAATTTTTCATGATACAAAAATATAGCTTTAAATTTGCATCTAAATATAGTCAGTTGCTCAAATAAAAACTGTATTAACAGTAATTTGTAAAAGAGTCTGAGTTATTGCAAAGTAATTGCATTGTTTCTTACTTGTACAACTATTGACATGAACCATTCATGGATTAATCTTGCAATGGTCAGACAATAACACTTTACTATTAAAATAAAGGTACATAAGGAAGAAATGTATCAAAGGTACTTCTATTAATGTTTACTAATAAGAATAACTCCATTGCTGAATTTAAAATTCTAGCTTATTAAAATGCCATGTTCTAAAAGATTTAATTAAACATTTTTATTAAATTCTTTAATTAAATTCTCTCTCTCTCTCTCTCTCTCTCTCTCTCTCTCTCTCTCTCTCTCTCTCTCTCTCTCCATATATACAGTGAGGCAAAAAAGTATTGAGATGAACTTTTGATATTGACCACATACTTATTTTCCACCATAATTTGCAAATAAATTCTTTCCAAATCAGACAATATGATTGTCTGGATTTGTTTTCTCATTTTGTCTCTCATAGTTGAGGTCTACCTATGATGACAATTACAGGCCTCTCTCATCTTTTTCAGTGGGAGAACTTGCACAATTAGTGGCTGACTAAATACTTTTTTGCCCCACTGTACATATATTAGCTTTTTCTCTTTTTTTCACCTATGAGTTTTTTCTATGCTGTTCGATATTCCCAGAAGTCTATGTCCTACAAAAGAATCAGAAATAGGCAAAACCAATAATACTATTTTATTTACTTTTCTATTTTGCTATTCTATGACATTCTTTCATTTTTTCCTAGAACTATTTTCTATATATTGAGATCATAATTATATTGGGTAAGGAATACATCACTAATAGTTTATGCCTCTTTAAAGTAGAAATTCTAGATGAAAAACATGAATGATAATGCAAGAACACATGAACAATATACACACATAAATCATAATCATATCTAAATTTCTGGATAAAATTAATATATTTCCTAATAAACATGTAGAGGATTGCAGTCCTAGTAAATCTGAAAAGTTTCAAATAGAAGATGTCTTTCTCTGCCACGACCTAAAGAGTAGAATTCTTAATATCTCTTCAACTAATAACAGTATTTGTTCATTATATATTAAAAATAGTAACAATAATAAGAAAATACTTGGTATATTTTATTCCTCTTCTGAGCACTATATAGGTAAGTGGTAGATTAGATACCAATTTTTAATTTGATATCCATTCAGTCATCTAATATGGTTATTATGATGTATTCTAAAGATACAAGCCTTTAAAAATGACACAGTGACACAAGTTTTAACCAACATGATTAAAGCAGAAATTAAAAATATATTTAAGGCTGTAGAAAATTAGCTTTACTCTATGTTCTGAACATGAATGAAGCAGTAGCAGCTGAATGAGACATTCTGGATACTTACTATCTCCCCAAGGATTATCAAAAGATCAATAAAGTTCCTCTTCAATAAGGCATTCAAATTACACAGAATATCAATTTCCATCACTGACAATTAAATTCAAATAAGATTATTTCGATCACCCTCAAAGATTCAAATCTGGCATGCAACAATAAAAAAATTAAAACTCTTTCATATTCTATCCGATCTAATTTCCAAGTTTAGCTCCATAATAATTAATCAATATCATTCAAAAGGAAAAATGAAAACCAACAAATATAAAGAGAACAATCATACCTTGCAAGCTATTCCTTAACTACTGAACAACTATTCTTGCCTCCAGTACTGAACTGGAGAAATATACTCATAGTTATACAGATAGTCCTCAACATATGACAATTGAGCCCAAAATTTATGTTAAGTGAGAAATAAGTGAGTTTTGCCCCATTTTATGCCTTTTCTCACCACATGTGTTAAGTGAATGACTGCAGTTCTTAAATTAGTAACACGGCTATTAAGTGAATCTGGTTGACTTAGTTTGTCAGAAATTTGCAAAAGGGAATCACATGACTCTGGGAGACTGCAACCATCATAAATATGAGTTAGTTATCAAACATCCAAATGTAAATCATGTGACTATGGTGATGCTACAATGGTCATAAGTGTGAAAAATGGTCACAAATCACTTTTTTCAGTGCCGCTGTTACTTCGAACGGTCACTAAGTGAACTGTTGTAAGTCGAGGACTACCTGTAATAAAAAAGTGACTGTGTCTTACATATCAACGACTGTACATCGCCTTCTGGGATACAGCTACCACACGACTACGGCTGGAAGTATTTTTCCACTGATACATGCAGAAGCAAAACTATCATATTCATCAACACAAGTTGAAAGGTATCATGCTGTGTGAACCATGGAGGGAGGAAAAGAGATGTATTCATAGTATACTGAAGTATTTCAGGTTAAAACAAATTGAGCTCATGAGTATACTACATATGAATGTAGATACTGGAAGAGGATAAAAGCGCTAAAATAAGCTTTTCTCCTGAAACGATGTGAAAGTTATGACAACTATTGTAACAAAGAATCTTTGACCTACCTTGCAGAAGAGCTCCATTTCTCTTGATAAAAGTGCTTCCTGGCCAAATGGGTGGACTGGATGTGCTAAAGTTTAAAAAGGGGAAACATTTATATTTGGTTATTTGCAAATTGTCTAATCATACATTTTATACATTTTTGTAAATTTGGATAGCAGTTTTAAGAAAATAACATTTATCTTTTGAATAGCAGAATTATCTCTTTATAAAAAATATTTATCAATCATATTCAATTTGCAAAAGAAAAAAGAACCTACACACATTTAAGAAAGGGAAACTAAAAACAAAATGTTTAACCTATGTATTATTTCTTTAAAAACCATGAATAGTAAAGCATGCATTAAATTTAATTTTAAAACACTATTTTACATTCTCATATGCTTTGAAACAATTTTAAAAAGAACTATATAAGCTTGGATATGGCCCTGAACTAGATACTATTTTATTTTAGTCTAGGAAACCTCTACTATTAAAAACAGCAGATAAGCTGTTCTAACCTTCATGAAATTTAAACACATGTAGAATATTAATACACTATTAAATGCAAGTGTCCAGTACAAGTAAACTATAAATAAGCTAATCATTTCTGTGTGTATTGTCAAATCATATATATAAATCATATAAAGACTTATGGATAGCAGAACAAGAAACGTCTTTGATAGATACATGATATCAGAAACCAGAATAAGAACATTTGGGGAAAGAAGTATATTTTTACCATAAATCTAGATTTTGGAACATTCTTGGTCTGAAAATTATAGATAGATAGAATAAAGCCACAATAAAAAAATAAATAAAATTGCATAGGTGTTAAATCACATATAACTTAGGAACTTGCCTACTTCCACAGTAAAATCTGCATTAGGGCCTCCAAATCAAATTAAGGCAACAATTTGCTCACAATCTGATTTGGAATGAGCACAAAGAGCACTCAGGGGGAAAAATAATAGGCTTTTAAACTGTATTAGAGGTCCCATCTATGTGGCACCCTACAGTTATTTTATCACACAATGCTGCTGTATTTGCAAAAACGCAGTAGCCAGAAAACACATACTTACACCAAAGTTTTGCAACTGAGTGTCAGATTTTCAAAAGACTATATGTATGAAGTCGAACAATGAAATATGTACCGTATGTTTTAATAAATACATGGAATTACCAACCAGCTATTTTCATAGCTTGACTGATTTGAAGATATTTAAGCTTTAAACAAATAAGATGTACCACATTTTTGCTCTGCTGTACTAGAATGAATTAACAGAAGCTATCATACAAGCATCATTGTCTTACAGAAAAACTGATTTGCCAACTTCACTAGTTGGCAACTTTAGACTAGTAATGAACATTATTACTAGTACAATATAAAGCAGTATTTCCTAAAAATGATCTATGCAAGATTAATCCTGATTAGCTGTGATTTTTCAGGGTCTCAAGCAGATATGCATCAGACCTCATAAAGAACAGTACCCCAAACATGTTATGAAATTACTGACAGATAGAAACAGGCTCTCAATTACTTCAACAATGTTCAAATATTTGAATCCTAATATTTATATTTAAAGTGCAAAGCAAAAAAAATATGGCAAGCCTCCTTCTTCTAATTCCACAAATATTTATCCCAACATTTAAGTAACACTTATTAAATTATCTGAACTTTTGTTTTTAACATTTTTAAATTTCTTCAAATGATAAGTTTTGAGGAAACAATATCTCAGTTCAAAATATGTATACAAGTAAAATTTAGTATACAGATCATATGAAAATATACTTAATGTTAATATGTGGGCAAAATCCATTCTCACGTGCTACTTCCAAACATTATGTTCACTAAAATATATACAAAAATAGGTATTGCTTAACTCTACAGATCCCTTCTCACCAATATTCCTTATACAGAGAGACATCCATTTATGATTGTAATTGAGTCCAAAATTACAGTTATAAGTCATGGCCATCATGAGCATTTTTTGCCAGAAACCGGAAGTAAATGATAGCCTCTACTTCATTTGTCAATAATAGTTTTACGATACTGCTGTCATACTATCCAACAGCTTTTTCGGCTAAAGACCCAAACAGTGAAAAACATCTTAAGAGTGTTTATTACTATCCTTTATTTCCCTGTTTTATTCCTTGAAAATCTGTCACAGAAACTGGAAGATCTTCTCAAATGACGTGAGTGACAGAAAGAAAAACTGCCAGCTACACACACACCCTGTTTGTAAAAGTCCTTCCTATGTATTTACACGGCTGTTATTATTTCTGGGAAGAGCATTTACCATATCAAAACCATTCAAATATGGGTGGAACTGATTGTTCATTATCAAGTTGGCAGTTGGCAATGAGAAACTATATAACCACATGTGATATATGCTATTATTCCAGTATTTTATATATATGTATGCATGATTAATCATTATGCATACCAAAAGATAGTCCTCAACACAATGTAATAAAAGTTGCTAATATTTAAGCCAAGAGAAAGCTCTTTAGCAGAATTTTTTAAAAAGTCTAATAGCAAGCCAAACTATATTACAGCATTATAATTTTTAATTAAAATGGAATATTTATATATGGCAATCACTTCAGTAATTTTTATTAACAAGAGAAAAGAATTTACTACAATTTGGAGTAGGGATAGATGGGGAACTCATCAAATTTGCAGACGACACCAAGCTGGCAAGAATAGCCAACACTCCAGAAGACAGGCTTAAGATACAGAAGGATCTGGACAGACTTGAACACTGGGCACTAACTAACAAAATGAAATTCAATGGTGAAAAAAGCAAGGTTCTACATTTAGGCAAGAAAAACCAAATGCACAAGTACAGCATAGGTGGCACCATGCTCAATAGTAGTAACTGTGAGAGGGACCTCGGAGTCCTAGTAGACAATCACCTAAATATGAGCCAGCAGTGTGCTGCAGCTGCCAAAAAGGCCAACACAGTGCTAGGCTGCATTAACAGAGGGATAGAATCAAGATCACGTGAAGTATTAATACCACTCTTCAATGCCTTGGTAAGGCCACACTTGGAATACTGCATCCAGTTTTGGTCACCACGATGCAAAAAAGATGTTGAGACTCTAGAAAGAGTACAGAGAAGAGCAACAAAGATGATTAGGGGACTGGAGGCTAAAACATATAAGGAACGGTTGCTAGAATTGGGTATGTCTAGTTTAACGAAGAGAAGGACAAGTGGGGACATGATAGCAGTATTCCAATATCTCAGGGGCTGCCATAAAGAAGAGGCAATTAAGCTATTTTCCAAAGCACCTGAAGGCAGGACAAGAAGCAACGGGTGGAAACTAATCAAGGAGAGAAGCAACCTAGAACTAAGGAGAAACTTCCTGACAGTTAGAACAATTAATCAGTGGAACAGCCTGCCTCCAGAAGCAGTAAATGCTCCAACACTGGAAGTTTTTAAGAAGAGACTGGACAGCCATTTGTCCGAAATGGTGTAGGGTTTCCTGCCTGAGCAGGGGGTTGGACTAGATGACCTCCAAGGTCCCTTCCAACTTTACTACTATTACTATACCTCCTGACAACTGTTGGCAGTTAATATCACAATTAGCTGTTTCCTAGCAACAGCTAGTAGCATTCTTTACAAGTCAAAGCATAGAAGAAATAGAAAAGTAACTAGACTAATTAAAATTGTATTTTAATATTTTTGTCATGTGTCTGACTAATGAAACACTTCAAAGAACTTTCAGGCATGGTTTAACCTAAAAAGCCTTTATTAGTGTAAAAGAGTGTCAGCACGGCATGGTGAATGCCAAGATCTGAATTTCCCTTCCTTTGCACATAACATTCCAGGCATTTCCCCTCCCCTATTTTGGGGTCATGATTCACATCTTCCAATTAACCTGGAGGGCAAAGATTCACTTCCGTTCCCTTTCGTGGGCTTTTCTCTCCTCCCTCATTCTCATCTGAATTAACTCTAAAAGTACCAAACAGTTCTGCATATTTTGTCAAAGCAAGAATATTCAATATTAGCAGCGTTGATAATTTTACTGTTCTTATACCAGGACATTTAGGGAAGGAACAAAATCTATATTTTCAGTGGGATAGATTAAAGGAGATGCTTGATGTCAAAAACATTTAAAAGACTTAAGCAAATTTAGTTTAGAATGAATTGTTACTATTTTAATAAACTCTCCTGCCAAAGGAGGCCTCCGCCGAGACAAACCTGTCTATCTTGTAATGACGTATAAAGGGAGATAGTGAAGACCACATGGCCACTCTACAAATGTCGATTTGATGCGGGAGTGGCCCAAGCCGCAGAAGTAGCCGCACTACGGGTTGAGTGGACTGTGACACGTAGTGGAACTGGCAATGACTCAGACTGGCACGCCCCTGCAATACACGCCCAAATCCACCTGCCAATCGTGGAGGAGGATACCTTCTGACCCTTGGAAGAAGGATGGAAAGAAACGAAGAGGGCTTCAGAATTGTGGAAGACAGCTGTGCGTGAGATGTAGTAACGGAGTGCTCTGCGAACATCCAGAAGGTGCCATTGCCGTTCCAGAGCATGTGATGGATTAGGACAGAAATCTGGAAGCACGATTTCCTGAGCCTTGTGGAATAGAGAATTGACCTTAGAGAGAAAGATAGAGTCTAGATGAAGGACCACTCGGTCCCGGTAAAAGATGCATAAGTCATCCCTGGTGGAAAGTGTCGCTAATTCCAATATCCGTCGCACAGATGTAATTGCCACCAGGAAGGTGACCTTGTGTAATAAGAATCGCAGATCGCACGTCCTGAGAGGCTCAAAGGGTGGTTTGGTGAGAGCCCGAAGAACCCACGGCAGTTCCCAAGAGGGGTACCTATGCACTACAGGGGGCTTGGTGTTTGTGGCACCCTTGATGAACAAGCAAATCAATGGATGTTGACCAAGCGATACTGCAGTGTCACAGGTAAGTAGAGTGGAGAGAGCAGCAACTTGTCTATTTAACATGTTCGGAGCCAAGTCCCTCTCCAGACCATCCAGAAGATAGTCTAATATTTTTGGAATTGCTAAGTCAGATATGGATAGGTGATTTTTCGTGCACCACGAACAGAAATTCCTCCAC